TTATATTCAGTTTACGTAGAAAATTATAAATAGAAGAAATAAAAACGTGAAACGAAACACTTTATTTACAATAAAGCATATATTAATATTTTATTTTATATATTAGACATTTATACTTATCATTCATAGTAACAAAATTTCCGGCATAAAGACAATAAATATCTGTGATGTCAATACAAAAATGGAAATAATCGTATCGTTGCAATATCGCCGTAGTCTCATTCTTGCTCTTAATATAAAAGCGACCGTTGTCAGTTATTGATGTTTCAATTTTTCTTTGATGGCGGAAGCGTCCTTTTCAGCGGGAACATAGCAGATGAGCATCAAGCCGAAAAGTACCAAGAAAGTTCCGCACCACCAGGTCAATGAAGTGGATTCGTTAAATATGACGAAACCTACAAAAGCCTTCAACGAAAACGAGAGATAATTATAAAATAAGAATTTTATAATAATACGATCGAAACATCCCATTGTGATAAACTTTTGTGCAAATATAATATTTAAATATGATATTTAAATTTCACATTTTTGTAAAAGCGAAAAAAATATAAAAATTACATATATTTATACTGTATATTATGTTTCCTCTTAATTACATTGAATTTCTTTCCTGTAAAAATATAAACTTTTGAAATTTTCTCTTTCATTAAAATTATTTCTGATGTTGAAAATGTCAAATGTTGAAAATCGATATAATCGGCACGTGTTTGACATAGGTAATATATATATAGGACTATCTAGACATAGATATATAAATCTATGCATCCTTATTTCTCGAGGATTATATCAATCGACATTTGCAAATTTAAAACACCTGTATCCCCGCAAACCCACCCTTAATCTTGTGAATATTTAACTCCGCCAACACAATACTGTAAGAATTAGACGACCGTAAGCGGTCATGAAAGAGATTCGGATTATAAACACCTAAGTGTCGGTCCACAATAAGTATTTAATCTTTAAACCGTAAGAAATTGACCAATTATAATCGAATATGAAAAGAATAATCGACTATGATTAGTCAATTTCTTACGACTTAAAGATTAAATACTTATTGTGGACCGACACTAAGACGATCTTAAATATAAGAACTGACTACGAATACCGCCCTAAGCGTCTTGGTAGTAAGCGAGGGATTCCGATTTCAAATCCAGTCGGTCTCCGTTTATTTTTTCGAATCTAATAAATATCTTTCAATACAGTATCGTTTTACTAGCTATCACGCAAACGAAATTAAATCAATTTTTGAGGAATTGCAAAGAAAGATTCCATCGCAACGTGTAAAATTTTATTTCTACGTCTCTGGTCGTTTCGGACTTAACGGACTAACGAGATTACATAAAGCTTTACTAATATTTTACGTAAAGATAGATAATTATCACAAAGGGAGAAATGAAAAGAGAGAATAGAATCATTCGCGAGATGATGGATGTAATTATTTCTATTGGGATAATAATTCTGGCTTGCATTTCCCAGCGTATAATGTACCGTTATCGAGATTGTGTTTCAATAGCATGTATCATATCGTAGAGTTCTTGTTCAATCGCCACGTACCTGTGCGCATATAATTGCTATGACCGCATTGTGCACACTCGCGGAATTGCGTCTAGTTTGCGAAACAACTTTCACTCTTTGCAAACCGACTCTCGGAAACATATCGGACCGTTGGCTACGAATAATTGCCGACGGACAAATACCCTTTCGCAGAATTACTTTCCTTTGCCATTTCATCTCGTTACGTTTTTATCAGAAGTTTCTCAGAAAAGAAAAAAATTTGATCCAATGCTTGACGACGATTTAAGTCTCTCTTCCATGATAAGTACGATGGATGGATCTCTATCGTGACGTACCTTAATTTCAGATTCCCTAATTACGGAAAGTTTTTCCCCCCGAGAAAAGCCATCGTTCATATAATATCATAATTTTCTAATTTTCAATTTCATCACATATCTTTATAAATCACGAATGAAAATCCTGTTAAAGTGTAAAAGTCTCTTGAAATTTTAATTGTAAAACAGTATTCAGAATTACTCTGAACCTTAATTCTCAAAAAGTTTTCTTTTCTGATAACTTTAAAATTGCTTGTCGAAACTTTGAGATTTTTACTTAAACAAAAACTGAATTCGAGTTCTCGTCGAGGAAGATTTGTGGAGATTACGAGCTGAAGCTTTGCGTTATACAAAAACATTATTTATGAGAAATAATAAGATTTAACAACTCACTGAACAAACATAGCTTGTGGCTGAACTGGCGATCGTTATCGGCAAAGAAGATCCGCTACCGTGAAGCGCTTTGACAAAAAATGTGCATCCCACGGTGTTGCATATGATCATACAGACGAGAAGCACTCCTTTTAGAAGTAACGACAACTACAATAGAAAAAATAAACTTCGTAACTTGTAAATATTACGTCGCTTTATCTTATTATTTATTATTAATTAAAAATCTCTAACGTTTAATTCTTTTTCTATTTCCCAATTTTTCAATCATACGTCATTTATCTAATAAATATTTATCATATAATTTATTACATAATTTACATAATTTATTACATATTTTGTATAAAAATAATAATGTATTAATAACAATAATTTGTAAAAAAAAATAAAATAGAATATAAGTTATCATAAACACATTGCAGATGATAACCAAAATTAATAAATTATTAATTTTTTTCTTTCGGAATTTTTTTCTCTCTAAAATTATTAGGGAAGTCTGTTAATAATACCTCGTCTTTTTACTGGAGATTCGAAATTGCCGCTAACTCACCAATGACGATGCGTCAGCGCCACCGGCGAGCTTGCCCAGAAGACTGCCGCCGGTAGCAAAAATACCGGCGAAGACCGCGAGATGCGCTCCGCCGCTGGCACCATCGTCGCGTCCTTCCATATCGGTAGACAGGTGAACGTACCTGAACCTGATAGATATTCGGATGTTGGCGACGGGGTGACGTTGGCGAGATCGGCGCGAGGACGGCCGCGGTCCAAGGTCGTTCGTGGCTCGCGACACTCGGATTAGAGAACACGCGGTGAGCGGCGCCGTGCCGCCGCAAGAGCGATAAGATTCGCTATTCTTATCGACTCCAACCAGGATCGGAAACACGAACTCGAGTCGATATCGAGGACGATCGTACAGCGACACGGTCGCGAATGACGGTCGGTGAGTCATCGGGACATGCGCTTCGAATGTTTTTCGTATGTTTTCCGACGATGACGCGCGGACCCGACGTTCGAATCGATCGTGATTTAAATGTTATTTTTGTGTCCACGATGCTAGAAATCGATCCGAGATCTCGGATGGAAAGTATTTGATCGAATTATTCAAAAACGCAATTGGTCAATTCTCTTTCCGTCCGAGATCTCGGACCGATTTCTAGCATCGTGGACACAAGACTTTACAAACAGGAGAAAAGGATTCTCCGATTTTTGTATATATCTCCGCCTCGTTATCGTGGCGCAGATTTAAAAAATTAATTTTAGTCTCGGATTAAAAAACTTTCCTTCTTTAATTCTAAGAATGAAAAAGAGATAAATAGAGCGAATTAAACCGAGATTACGGTTTAATCTACATTGGGATAAAAAATGGACATATGTCATGTTCAAATCTCGGTCTCTTTCGATTGAATTTTGAATATGACTTTGGATTAATGGACAGATTTTTATGCACTCGATAAAGGATACGAGAGTGGGAATATTTTTCATTTCCATTCGTATCGTGTGTGTAGATGATAAAGAAAAATGGATTTGGACATTTTCAATATACGACTCGAATGCCAAATGATATATGTTTTATGGAAATGTGGTTGCGAAGGAAAAAAGGATAGAAACCGTTTGACATTATCACACGTTATCATGCGCATATGACAATACAATTCTCGCAACACTGATGTCACGCACTCGTGACAGCGATAATTTCTCTGCAATCAAGTTGTCCGCGCGCCGTTAAAAAATGGTATTACCAAATCGAGAGCGAGAAACTCTGCTCAAAACGGCAAAACGGATCTAAAAATTCAGAATGAATGATCGTCGAAATATTTTAAAGTTAAAAAAAAAAATCGGTTCCCAAATCGGTTCAGGGAACCCAGTCGAATCCAGCGGAGCGCGACCGATTCTCGCGCTTCGTCGATCAGCCTCGTCCGGGGCTGATCCTCTCGAGAATCCGCGAGAGCCTGACGAGGGAACGGACGGCCTCGCTTATCGACCGGCTGGGCGCATAAATACAGAACGGTTATGCAATAACGTTATTCGCGGGCGAGGCGGAAGTGGTGCAGCACGAGTATCGAGCCGATCGACGGGCGCCGCCGCGCGTTCGCCGATCGTCGGGGGGCGAACGAGTGCGCTCGCGCGCGCATCCGTCCCGTTGTTCGCGATTCGAGCGTGTTCGTACGAGCTGAAGCGAGCCACGGGAGCCGCGCTCGGTTTCGGTCGCGCGGTGGAGGGTGGCGTGCGGCGAGGCCAGGCGAGCGCTGGCGAGACGGGCCGAGGCGAGGCAAGGCAAGGCAAGGCAAGGCGAGGTGTGCGCGGGCGCGATCTCTCGCAAGGTAGTTTAAAAATGGCGACCGACAGGTAGACGTTTCCGCGGCTGTGCACGCGCTGGCAGGCACGGGGAACGGCGCGCGAGCGTATTTTCGCCACCGGCCGACACATACACACAGCGCGTACCCGTCCCCTCGCGAGAAACGGTATAAAAACGCGCGCACATACGTACGTACGCACGCACGCACGCACGCACGCACACACGCACACAACATCGAGCGCCGAGAAATCGCGCTCGCTCACTCGCGGATTATGCCGTAAATTAACGTTCGCGGTAGCTCGGCGCGAAGTTGCGCGAGCAGCGACAGGAGTGAATGAGCCGTCCCGCCGCCGTGCGTTCGCGTTCGAATCCTCGATCCTCCGAGCGTCCTCGCCGTCCCCGCCGTCCCCGCCGTCGCTCGTTACATTCCGTTGGCGCGATCGCGAGTGTGGAGAAAATAGGGGGAGAAGGAAAGCGGACCACTGCCGCGTGTCGGATCGTGCGTTTGCATACGTAAGTAAAAATGAAATTTAAAAAAAAAAAAGAGGAGACAAATGCCTCTCCCTCCCCTCCCATTGATTTTCGGCATGTCGCTCGATCGCGCTGATTCTCAATTCCTATCTCGTCCTCGTCCCCTCTTTCCCGAGAATATCCTCCGTCCGTCTCTCTCTCTCTCTCTCTCTTCCTCCTTCTTCTTTCTCACCGTTCCCGTGAGATCCTGCGCGATACGTGCCGCGCGTCCTGGCCTTGATCGCGCGATGGCTTTCGGTACCCTGTTTCGGTGCCGAGCGATATAATTGGCAGGAAGTAAAGTCCATCTCACGCGGCGACGTGGATCACGCGCCGAACGCAATTCGCGTTTCCGAAATCGCCCCGAACGCAAGCGAGGCGGCACGAGGCAGGAGGGTGCGATGTATCCCCGCGGGACACGGAACGTTACTCTGCCGTTCACGGCCTTTCCACGGTGATTGCGTGCAAACTAACGTGCAACCAGACGTCAGACTCGATGAGCGATCAGCAGCAAGTATCTCCTCTGTGGTTGTTACGTGCCTGCTGTTTTTTGTGTCACTAGACTTGAGAGTTGAGAAATCACTCGACGACGTATTGGAGGAATCGAGTGCTCCTATCTGTTGTCCTATCTATTCTCTAGAAGAAAACATACATCTTTATCTTGATATTATTCTTTTTCGTTCATGATTCACGATTAGTTTGTCTCTTCCTTTTCTTCTTTTTTTTTCTTTTTTTTTTGAGGAGGAATATGTATGATTTTTGTTGTTTATTTTTGGGACTTGTGTGTTGGGCTTTTTTTTATAAATTATCTCTGAGATGTGAAACTTGTATGCCGTGGTAAGGTTGGAAAGTCTAAATATGTACATTCCTGATGGCATGTAATGACGCAGTATATTACTTGAGATTAAGGATAGAATTTATTACAGATGTGTGTAGTAATATAGTCTATATACCTACTAAAGATTTTCATTACGTTGCATCTGACCGAAGTGAAAATGTATATAGGTTTCAGCGATTTATTCCTGTTTGACATGTTATCGTTTTTTTCTACAAGATACTTGTTTAAAGAACTGTCAAGGTAGATGAACTGGTCTTAATTTCTCTTCAGTTTTATTAATAGAAAGTGGAGATACGACAATCTGCAATCGAGTTTTAAAAAAAACACATGCCAGAGCGTTATGTCATTGTTACGAATCGCAGAAAGCTTTTTTGTCAGCTTGCACGAACATCTGTGCAAATATACGTTTACTTACCTAAGTATTTGATAAGTTTGAGGGAGCAAACCTGGTTAAAATATGCTATCATTTCTGCCAGATAACTCAGGAGGGATCAGTTAAGTTGCGTATGCATTATTGAAATAAGTGAAAATCTCAATTACGCCAGAATGACGTCCGGCGTTTATCGAAAAATTTTAAATTATCTGAAAGTGAGATCTTGGCTTTCTAAGCATAAAGGTAAAACTGTCGGGTTTACATTATTTTTTCACTATACAGTGTTTTCATTGTTCTCACAAATATGGTTAATAGAAATAAAGATAAACAACAATTGATAAATTTATTCTACATGTGCATACGTTTATTCTGGAAAACAAATTACTTTGCTCTCTTGACATGATCGAAATATATGTGAATATGTGTGTACAAATAAAATACGCAAAATGCTGAATATATTTACATTCGGTGTTTTCTTTTTTATAAATAGGTAAATATACCTGCAAACATTACAAATACATAACAATGGAACACTCAGAGTTAGTAGCGGAAATGGTACATGTTGAAAGACTGACCACGCAAGAACGACTGCACCTGGCGCGTCATCGTAGACTTCAACAATTAAAAGTATGGAGGCAACGTGAGAAAGAATGGTTACGGCATCAAACTAGGCATACAAGTAATAAACGTCATATATACTTTAGTGACAGTGTTATGTTATTAGAAGCTGCTGCGAGAAACGATATTGATGAAGGTAAGAAATTTTATGCATAATTTGAAACACACACACACACACACACACACACATATATATAAAATACATTTGTGTCAATACATTACATCATCAATATTTATATCTCCAGTAAGAAGGCTCTTGAAAAAGGGAGTAAATCCTGATTCGACGAACGAAGATGGTTTGACAGCATTACATCAGTGTTGCATAGATGATAATGAAGAAATGATGAAACTACTTATTGAATTTGGTGCTAACGTGAACGCGGAAGATAGTGAGAAATGGACACCATTACACGCTGCTGCTACGTGTGGCCACTTACATTTAGTCAAATATCTTATTGCCAGAGGTGCAAATTTGTTAGCTGTTAATGCCGATGGTAATATGCCGTACGACATTTGTGAAGACGAAAAAACGTTGGATTGTATCGAAGGTAATAGATTTTATTAAGTTTTTTCAACATATAAGGCAATTAATAACATGATATTAATATAAACTATGTTTTATAATGCAGGGGAGATGGCAAGACGAGGAGTTACTCAAGAATTAATAGATGAAACAAGAGCTTCAACCGAGGTTCAAATGTTACGCGATTTACAAAAGATTGCTTCTTTAGGAGGTGACCTTGAATACAAGGATCATCAAGGTGCTACACCTGTATGTATTGCTTTTGTATTTGTTGATTTGGAAAAAAAAATTTTTTAAATTATTTCCATTTTCATGACTATATGTCACAATTTTGATTACAGCTTCATATAGCAGCCGCAAATGGATACTTAAGAGTCGTGGAATTTCTTCTGGACCAACATGTTTCAACAGATGTAGAAGATAATGACAAGTGGCAACCAGTTCATGCAGCTGCATGTTGGGGACATGTAAGTTTAAATAGTCTCTCTTCTTATTTATATAAGCACAAATTATAAAATTATTATAAATGTACTTATCAAAAACAGCATCTCTGTTTTCATCTCCTTTTATATAACAGTTATAATTTTTTTATCGTTTAAATATTGAGTTATGTATAATTTTATATGATATATTGAATATATATATTACAGTTGGAAGTACTTGAATTATTGGTGCAAAATGGAGCAGATCTAAATGCAAAAAATAAACATGATGAAACTCCCGCGGGTAAGATTCACCAATTGATTTATATTTTCCATTCTCTATATTTTAATATGCTTATTCGTTATATAGATATTTGCGAAGATCCAGAAATTAGGGAGAGGATAGTGGAATTGAAAACAGAACAGGAAAGTAAACGACTTCGGGAAGCGCAAGGACGTAGAGTACGCAGATCGCAAAGCATAAACACACGGACACAAAGTGTACGTCGAACATCTATTCGAGATAAAGTTCTCACTACGAAAAAGGATGCCCAAGAAGAAACTCGCTTGAGATTACAAGCGCAACAGGTACAACGAAAACTTAAAAAATTAAAAATGTTTTACATATTTCCCGTTCTCTTAATATAAATTAAGAGCTGTTAACATGATATATTTTTTTCTAGACATATGTTAGCGCTCCTACACCTAGTATTCCGCCATTGGAAAACAGTACACAGGAAGTAGGGGACCATGAGACTGATTCCGGCGCGCTGACTTCAGCGGTGCGGAAAGGTCCGGAAGGAAAAGATAACGAGTCTTTTCTTCACGAAGATGTTGATAAAGATTCAGGTACATTCCAAATGTATTCTTGCTTGCATTGGTTGTGGTTCAGTAGACTATTGTGGTAAATGGTAGCTTTGCGCGAAGAGATTTCCAAAAATATGTACCTCGATCGTGTGATTTAAGAATTGCACATATATGCGTTGTACATCATCATGTTCATTTATAATTCATAACGTCCAAAAGTAGAAACAGGAAAATTAACGCGAGTGTAAAATATGGAAAAATGTATAGCTTTACATATATGCATTAAGTCATATATTTATTAAAAATGATATAAAATTATTGTAGCGAAAGAAGAAGAGAAAATAATGATTATTATAGAACGATTATAAATGCTATCGGAAGAGCGAACGGAGTTTCCTGTTAAATCTGACAAGAACCCACGCGTCTTTATATTTTTATACATTAATAAACAAAATTTTATATATACATTAACAGAAGATGACATGAATAGTCCTGATAGATCAAATAGTCCCAAATATATTAATTATATAGATATCTGCTAATTATAAAATCCCATAAATGTACTCTGTTAAACTCATTGTGTTAGCTGTCGATTATTTACCAGCTTTTTCTTTTTTTTCACTACTGCGTGCTCCTGAATAATTGCGAGGTTAGTTTTCTACGTCACTTTTCTATTTCTTTAATTATTACATTTCACGATCTGTACGATGCATTTAATTGCGTTATCTTTTCCGTATCATATACACATTACATCTTTTCCGTATCGTATACACATATACACATATACACTGCGCCAGAAGTTATCTGCTCATGGTGTACGTAAAATATCTACGTGTGCTGCGCATATACCATGCATTTTTCTCTCTGAAAGTTGTTCTTCACGTTAAGACGCACACACACGTACACATTTCGCTTTGTATTCATATCGAATCTCTTTGGTAAGGCCTAAGTGGTATTGGCTTCCTTAGCATATCTTTGTGGGCCGTTTTAGCAAAGCTTGAGCGGCCACTTGAGCGCAAGATAGAATAATAATCAAACGGATGTGGTATTTATTATAGGTATGCCGAATTGTTTCTGTAATTTCTTACATAAACTGGAGCCTAATCGATTTAGAGAACTTATATACATATATATCATGCTAGTAGGACGCACACAATAAGTAGAATCGACAAATATATTATTCTACATTCTTTGTACGTATTGTACTGTGCGCAAGTTTTCTCTAGAATATAAATATACAGGACGATTCTTGATTATGTTTTATAGGGATGAAATGTGATTTGAAAAAACAAAAAAAAGGATATTAGCATATATATAATTAAGAATCGCCCTATATATATATTTAGATAACTATTTGATAAATTTTTTGCCGGTTAATGTACCCGTAGTATAACGGGCGGATTTTGAGCCTAAAGCATGACCTAAGGTTGATCGCAGCTCTACGAATTTTTATATATACCTGTCGTCAAAATCTTACACTTATTAAAAATCGATAGCGAGCTCTCTGCTAATCGGCCTCGCATCCATTGTATCACGTGCTGGAGAGTGTAATGAGAAATCACTCTTCTCCACTATTGAAATAGTCAATTCGAAAAATAAAAAGAAAAACATATCAGATACAGCAAAAACGAGCCATTGATGGACACAAATTGCCAATGGATCCTTATATTTTCGTTTTTTAGACGACAACAGTGCTCGATCTATGAAACGTTTTAAAATTATCACTCTGTGATTTTCCATTCGATGATAGATTACAATCGATATGATAACGCGCGAGTACAGGTAGATCGATCGTTCGTAGTGGCTATTGAAACGTTGAAGAAATTTCATTGTAGACAAAAAATGCGAAGGACATACAGATATAATATAACCGTTAAATATCGCTCTTGTTCCTTGTAACGTAAGAGCCGTGTTTATC